GTGGGAGACCCAGAAGAAGCTCCAGGCTCCTGGCTTCTGATTGGCACAGCTCTGGCTGTTGCGTCGCTTGGGGAGTGAATCATCAGATGGAAGATCTTCTTCTCTGTCTCTCCTCCTCTCTGTATATCCTGCTTTCCAATAAAAATAAATGAATCCTTTTTTAAAAAACAAGGTTGTGCAAGAGGCTGGTCAGCATGAAGTTTAATAGTATATATTTGGGAGTCAAGTACACTTTGATTTGAATTTCCATATTGCTATTTTCCAGATGTTTTCCCATAATCATATTATTGAAATTGCTGTATTTTATGTAATATTAATGTAATTTTGTGATCTCAGAGACATTCTCAAGATCAAAATGTTGAGTTGTTACAGGTGCTAACACGTAATAAATTATTAGTATGTAGAAATTTAAATTTTCTTTCTGTTTTATGGGGAATGTACAGAAGAAAGTATAGAATATTCTAACAGCAAACAATTGCCAGAATGCAGTGAGGTGGTAAAACTAATAAAAATGTAGGATTGTAGAACGATGAAAGGTGGAAAAGATTAAAGAAGTGTGGTTGGTGATTTCAAATAGATAAGAGCACGCAGTGTATGTGAGGCTTTGTAAGGCAAGACAAGAACTTTGATGTTGTATTCCTTGACGGCAGGGGATGAGAATGAGGAAGGAATGCTGGGAGAAAAGTAAATTTGATGTATGGGAACATATATGGTGCAATGAACTTTGAACACAATGAATCTGAATTGAAGATACAAGTGAGATCATCAAATTCACAGACAATAGCAAATTTGTATCTCTGCCTCTCTTACATGGCCAAGAAGCAAATTTACAAAACAGTAGAGAGCAAAACCACCACCATTGTCATTGCCAACGTTATTAATTGCAGGTATCATTTGTTTTAATAAACCTGAATCAGTTGCTAAGCAAGACTTAAAAGGAGCAAGCAGTAATAATGATGTCACTGTGCATTGTTTGTAGTACTTAATAGACTTTGCAAAGCTTGTGCACTTCTTATTGACACTTTTGGAAGCAACAAATGTTATTTTAAAATTTCTGTTTGGTTAATAAAGAAACTAAGATACAAAAGCATCAGTAGGCCTCGAGGGTCATTCAGCTGGTTGTTAGCTGATGAATGTGTAAGTCTGAAGTGCAGATCTTTTATCTTGTAGGAAGCTAAGGCTTGAAGAGGCTTAACAGTGCTCTAGCGTAATCTTTCCAGTTTACTTGGAAGAAATCGAAGCCTGGAGACTAGGGTGACATTGGCGTGGACACACAGCTCCTTAGTGACCAACTGGGGATTGCAAGTTAAAGAACAACAATTATTCAAGGCCTAATGAATGTCTTTTCTGGCTTTGTGGAGTAGCCTTATATTGATCCCATTCAATCCTGAAAGCAATATTATGAGCTAGGTAATTTTAACCCCATCTAAGAGCAGACAGAACTGACACTAAAAAAAAAAAAAAAAAATTGTTCAGAATCAATCAATACAGGCTTCTCAGAATCACCCAGCTGTAAGAGAACCAGGATGCACACTCAAGTGGCATCCAAATATGATGCTTTCAGTTTTGTACTGTTGTGCCTTGACTCCTGAACTCTCATTACAAAACTTCTTTCGCTCCTATAGCTGCCTACAGAATGTGCCACAAGTAAAAAATAATCTTTCAGCATATGTTTTGCTCCCAAATATGTAGAGAATTGAGTAATGTGATCTTGGCATAGATCGAATTATTCTTGAATTATTAAAAATATTATGACCAAAAAAGTGACAAATACTTTTCATTTAGTTTTGAACCAGATTTCACTATTTGTTTAACTGGGTAACATGGGCAATAACATTAGTTTTTGAGTAGATAACATTTGACCTTGAGGATATGAAAATGACTAGGTTTCACTCTCATGAATCCTCCTACTACTGTTTCCTTTGAACATGTTCAGGTCAATGGTGAATTAAACCGAGAGTGAAAAAAAATCCTAGGATTTTTCTTTAGATTGAAAAGGGATTTTTTGTTGTTGATTATACATTTCCCTGGGAATGTCTGGCACACTGTGGGGTGCAATCAGGCTTGCATGATTTATCAGAATTCTCTGAGCAAAAGAGTCAGATTTTACTCTGAACTCACAGGGACCTCACTCGCAGAGCATCTGTCTTGCCTGTTTGCCAGTAGGAAATGCTGAATGGGCGAAACAAATCTCTGAGGACCAAGGCAGCCTACACAGCTTGGGTAGAAACCATCATTTATAATTAGTAAAATCCCCAACATATTACTGAAAAGCCTTCAAATGCTTTCTGTATTTGTATCTATGGTGGTTGCTTTCAATACTGTGACTATACACACAGAGAAAAGAGAAGGCAAAAGGTGACTGTTTCTAATTAGAACATAGTTGCATGTAACATGAATTTTATGTTTCTCACATACAGTTACATATAACGTGACTTTTCTGACTTTCCTTATAGCCATGGCATGGACAGCCGAAATGTATTTTTTTTTTTTACCAAGATACCAGTGGGTGATGAATTTTGATTATCCCCAGTGATTCCTCAGAATCTGCCACAGAATGTTCTGCTCCTAGGCAAGGGACATTCTCCTTCCTGTCATTTCTAATGCAAGGCAGAGATTCCCTCGTGTCTCTGGGGGCAGCTGTAGTTGTATAACTGACTGATTAGCATCACTGTCTGGAAGAGCTGGCTGTGTTATGAAGATAACCTCTACTCTGCTGTATTATGAAAATTCTCGCCAGTCTTTCTTTATCATCTCAATTGGTGGGAATGGATATATTATAAACTGAGAAGGTATTTGCTCCATTTCTACTCTTAAAATAGAGGTCCTTTGTCAAATTTAAGGAAAGAAGAATTATTTCTAAGATGTGTAAATGGCTTTAAGAGTGAAAGGGGCAGAAGGTATAAACCAGGACTGTTCCAGGAAAACCAGGACAACTGGCTTTTGAAATTTGAGATATTTTTTTCTTCCTTTTCCTAGTTTCTTCCAATACTTACCATGGTTAGATGGCTATTAGCTAGCATATTTCTAACGTTTTAATGTTGAGAGATTCTGCAGTGATCATGACTGTCTATCTGAGAATCTTGGGAATAAACTTTGGAGGTGGAATTTGTTGATACTCTATTGTAGAGAATTATCATTTGGCCTAATGCATAGACGTACCCTTTGAGTTAGTCTTACAGTATTCTGCTATTTTTGTTTGCAAAAGGCACTGAACTCAAGGGTAAGCAGCTCTTCTCTGTGAGCTATAACACTCACTCAGTTACTTCTCTAAATTTTTGAAATTTTCAGTGATCAGGTATGTTTTGAAGAACTAATACCTGTCATATTTGAGAAATGGTAAACTATGTAACTATGGACATTTCATTTTTCTTATTTGCAATACATTTATAATGCCTGATTGCAGCATATGAAGGGGCCGCGTAAGATAATGAGAAGCGATGGCATTTAGAAGCTAAAGTCTGTTGCCTGTAAAGTAAAAAGACTATGTTGGCTGAACGACATATGCTGTTAAACAAGGTGGTGGCAGCTGACAGTAAATGGCAAAGGTGGCATTGCCTAGTATCAAGAGCTGCGTATTTTATAGTTAACTTGGCCAGAATGCTATGAAATAAGAATGTTGAGTTTCAACCTAAATTCACAACCCTGTACGCTACTGAGGGCTCGTCAAGGTAATAGAATCATTGGGATTTGATTACCTATAACTTGATGCCTACAATGTAACTGTTACAGGAGATCTGGGGGTGTATTTTATTCATTATATATTATGCCCTGATGTTAATTCAATTTCTGTTCATATGTACTGTAATTCATATATTTGCATGAGAACTGGGAAAATATTCCAAGCCATAGATAGCCCTAGTTCAAGAACAATTTTATAGAAAGTTCTGTAAGTGTAAGCTGAGTACAGCATAAAATTATCAACTCATCTTTCTTGAAATGGTGTCAGCCTCACTGATCAAATGCAAGCCTTTGGGCTTGATAAATGTGTTCATGATCCAGACATTTTCTAGTTCTAAAGAACCAGATCCCGGAGAATAGAAATAAACCTTAGAGATTTTGTTTTATCAGGAATGGATGAAGAATGAGAATCTCTGAGTGACTTATATGGTCATTCTTTTGAAAGAATTAAAATGAGAAAACATTGTGAAATTGTGGGTTAATTCACAGCTTAAAGACTCCTTCATCCCTTATCTGAATGCCTGGGATTGAGTTCTGCTTCATGTTCTGGCCAAGTTTCCAGCTTCCTGCCGATCCAGCTTCCAGCCTGGTAGGCAATGTGTGGTAGGCCAAGTACTTCCATTGTACCACTTAAATGAGAGACCTGAATAGAGTTTCGAGCTCCTGCTTTGGCCTAGTCCAGCACTGGCTGCTGAAGGCATTTGGGGCATGAACCTGACAATGGAGGATTTCTCTGTCTCTCATTTCAAAATAATAACAAGAAGCAATAAATACTTTCCAAACTATATTCCTCAGAACACTACTTTATCATTCTTCACTCGATGCTTGTAGAGGACATAAATATAACTAGTGTCTGAGATTGCCATTTAAAAAAAATGATTTAACACTGCTTAGGCAAGTGCATAAATGTATTTTTTTATCTCCAAGGAACACACATTAATATATGGGATTACTGATTTACAGTCATTGAGTCAGAAAACATGTCATCTATCTAATATCAAGGCTCTGTGAAACATCATCAGTTTGGTTTTGGGTTCCTCAGAAGACAACACAGCGTTTGCAGCAGGACTGTCTTTACCACTATCTTCTTAGTTGCTCTTCACTTTATGAAAAAATAAAAAAACAAGAATGAAGTGTTCAGTTTATTTAGATTCTGGGTTGGCGTGATGGAAATAGGATACAGTTCTTGTTGAAATTTTCATGTTAGAAGATTATTAGCTATTATTGATATGTTGACATGAATGATTTTGATGTTTACAAAAAAGTTGGTGCCAACAGCAATTAATGTCCTGGTGGGCTTGTGTTTTTCTCTGAGGCAGATATCGATGAATGTTCAGAGGGAATCATTGAGTGCCACAACCATTCCCGCTGCGTTAACCTGCCAGGGTGGTACCACTGTGAGTGCAGAAGCGGTTTCCATGACGATGGGACCTATTCACTGTCTGGATCATCCTGTGTTGGTAAGCAGCTTTTACCATGGCTTGCAATTATGTGGACTTGTGTAGCCGTGGTATATTGCTTTAGTTCACAGTTCATTTTCAGTGTTGAAATCTGATCACTCATTGGCTAAAATCATCATTTAATTATTTTTCCTTTGCATTTCAAGGATTGGGACATGTATCATGCCATGTAACATATTATGTATTTTTTTTTCTTTTTCTCAAAAAACTCAAGCAGTTAGAGGAACAAAGCCAGGGTCTGCATGTGGTATTCAGTTCTTTTTAAGGAAAATCTTGATGATTTGCTGGAATTTTTGACAGCTTGAAAAGCAGCTGTGAAGAGGAAGAAACAGTGCTGCATTTAAAATAAGAAAGTGTAGTTCAAATCTCAGCTCTAATATTACAGGAGTGCCTGTGCTCCCTGATCCTTTATTTGTGTCTATGCAAAAATAGAGATCATAACATGCATATTCTTAAAATTACATGAGAAGCTATATATTTAAAATCTTATGCTTTGAATTGATGCACACATAAGATATACTTGGATTAGCTTTAGCATTGTTACTGTTGCCTCTACCATCATTTTTTGCAAGCTCCTTTTGTTGCTGTTCTTCTTGTGGATATGTTAAATTCTGAGTAGAGGAGGTTAACAGATGGAGTTCTTCCCTTTCAAGACCTTATAGCTTTGATAAAATCCAACAGATCAAAAATGCAACTATTTCTAAGAGCATCTTGGCCAGTCTATTCTTTCACATCATGTGGATTCAGCTGAATTCTTAATGGGGACTAGACCTAGAGGGCAAGCAATCTGACCATAGGGCCCCAAGTTCAGTCAAAATTTGACTCTGAAAATGTGTTGTCTCTGCTCATTGCCTGTTTTTTTCATTTGTTTGTCTTAAAGGATAGTGCTGAGGTACAGTAGATTTTTTTCCACTTCTCCAATGTTGTATCAAAGCAAAGATGAATTAAGAATGACAGGCAAATGGCATCGATTGCTCACCTCATCCGTGACACTAATGCTGAAAGGCATGTAGTGAGCAGGTGAAGACATCACTGCTTGAGGCAGACTTCTGCAGTCAAATTCAGGCCCTGCCAATTTTTAGTAGGTTGGTTACCTTGGGCAAATTCTTATCCAGCCTTACCTCAGCTATTATATCTGTGAAATGGAAATAGTGTTAATATCTAATAATTATAAGTGTTATGATAATTAATGTTTCAAAGATTTTTGCATATACATATCTGAGAGTTTAGTTTAACATTTAAATTCATCAATACAATGTGTACTGTTCTAGTCAGGTCTGTTAATATCCCCCTTCTTTGTCATTGACTGAGGTTGAGAAATCCCTTATGGACTCAGAAAATACATAGTAGGTCATTGTCAGCTATGGTCTCCCCACTTATTTTGTTAATCTAACTCTGATTTGAATCCCTCTAACTGGGGTGAGGTGAATCCTCATTGTAGTATTTAATTGCATTCGCTAAATGAAAAAGCAGCAAACACTGGCAAGAATGTTGGGGGAAAAGGTATCATAATATACTGTGAGAGAAAGCTCTCAGAAATGTGAAATTGGATCTAATTCCTGGGGATATATCCAAAGGAAATGAAATAAGCATATGAAATAATTTTGTATACCCCATGTTTATAGCATCTTAACTCATAATAATTAAAATATGGAACCAACCCAGATATCCATATAAAGAAAATGTGTTATATACATGATGAATACCACTCGGCTATAAAAATAATGAAATCCTATATCTGTGACACAGTGAATGCAACTGGAGACATTAGTCTTAGTAAAATAAACTTGTACCCCAAAATATCATGTTCTTTTGCATTGCTTTTAGCTGTAGAGAATATGACAAAACCTTTCACATATTATGAACTTAACTAACATCTAGTGATTTGATTTGTCTAACCCAGTCCTTGCCTCTGTAGGACGGTAATCTAAATACGCTTCCTTTGTAGAACTCTGTTTACAGGAGCATTGAACCTGTGAATATAAAGTAAATTGAAAGCATGTTATTACCAAAAATTAAAAGAATAAAAGAAAAAACAAAAGGAGGGGAGATGGGAAAGAAAGAGTTATTCAATTCTTGGAACTTCTGGTTTTTTTGTTTTGTTTGTTTTTTAAGAAAAATTCATTCTAAACCCTCCACTCCTGCCTGTCTCTAATGATTTCTGTCTCATGCTAATTTTTTTTTTTCAGTTTCTGAGTGAGGGTGTATGGCTTATTTTACTTAACAATAATGTCCCAAAGTTCTATCCATTTTCTATGAGTTTTTAATGGATAAATGCTTATATATCAAACCTTTTCTTTATTCGAATGTGTTGGTGAACACTTTGGTTGATTGCATATCTCAACTGTTTTGAACAGTACTGCATTAAACATGGTGGAGCAGGTATATCATTGAACTATTATATTATTGAAATATTATTATTATTTCTATCTTTGACATAGAAATCTAATATCTGTTAGATATGTCTTCAGAAGTTGGATTGCTGGATCATATGGCGGTTCTATTAGTGTTTTAAGAAATCTGCATACCATTTTCTTTTTTTTTTTAAAGATTTATTTTTATTATTTTTTCATTGGAAAGGCAGATATACAGAGAGGAGAGACAGAGAGGAAGATCTTCCGTCCGATGATTCACTCCCCAAGTGAGCGCAACGGGCCGATACTATGCCAATCCGAAGCCAGGAGCCTCTTCCGGGTCTCCCACACAGGTGCAGGGTCCCAAAGCTTTGGGCCGTCCTCAGCTGCTTTCCCGGGCCACAGGCAGGGAGCTGGAAGGGAAGCGGGGCTGCCGGGATTAGAACTGGCGCCCATATGGGATCCCGGGCGTGCAAGGCGAGGACCTTTAACCACTTGCGCCATCGCACCGGGCCCTATACCATTTTCTATAGAGGCTGTGCTAATTTCTGTTTCCACCAACCATGCATAGGTGTTCTGCTTTCTAAATATTCCTATCAGCATTTGTTACTTTTAACTTTTTGATAATAGTTGTTGCAGTTTGGAAAAAAAAACCTGTGACTTGGTAAAGAAGAGCAGGGCAGACTGTGCCTGCAGTCTTGAGTTCAGAGACTGCTGGTGTGGGAGACCAGGGTCAAACTCTACAAGCAGTAGTTTGTGAGCAGGCAAATTTTGAGAGCAAGCTCGAGGACTGTGAGCCAGGGTGGGTGGTTTGGCAGTGGTCCAAGCATACAAAACTATGTACTTGAAGACATCCTTGAAACAGTCACACACTGACTTCTGTGCTTGAGCCACGCTGTTGCCTCTTTACCATCAAGGATTTCCTGGTTAACATCAATATGGAATGTAGCTATCAAAGTTTGTGCCACATCAATCGGTGTAATTTGACTCACCAAACAGTTCAATAAAAGATTGAGACAGCAAGCTTGTCAGGTCAACCTCTTTCCTCATAGAAGATGGCTTAACTCTGGTTGCCCATTTTGGTAGTCTTTATCTTGTGTCTGGCGCAATTCTGATTATTCTCGGTTGCATATCACCTCCCTCTTGAACCCTGTTAATGCCATGCTGAACATGGTAAACCGTTTTAATTAAGATGTTATGTAAACATATACTCATGTCTTAACTGAATTGCCATCAGTAAGTGTTATTTTGTATTTTAAGTGTGTCAGCAAATTATTATTTTGCTCCATATTTGTTTACTAGTTGGGTAACACCTCACAGCCTCATGACAAGATTTGCAGCTATGTAAGAGTTCACCTATATGAAGGCTTATGTATTTCCAGGCACTTTGTGCATGTGAACACCATTGTAAGCAGGGATTCAAGTGATTAAGAATAAATCAAATATCTGATGTTGATGGATAGAGACAGAATATTAATATACACGACATTCATATAGGAGCTAAGTTTTCACATTTTTTCCATAACAACGTCATTGAAGGAGACACCCTGAGGCATGCATTGCAGCACACGCAAGGTACGCCACACCACAGGATGCCTGTTACCTGTATGTGATGACAGGGGTCAAATGTGCCACTACTTTGATCTAGCTTCTCACTGCTCTGCCTGGAAGGCAGCCACTGTTTTGATCCTGATTTCTTTCTTCCATGCTGAATGTTATACCAATGCATGGGAGTAAAGTTCCTGAGGAGCCACTTGCTTCTCCAGTCTGTGCAGGGAGCCTTCAGCAAACTGGACACTCTGTCAGGAAATAGAATTGGCGTTGGTTAGTGACATTTGTTTTTATTTTGGATAATTGTTAATATGAATTCCATATAATTTCCAAATTTTGGGACAGTCCTTGTTAATGAACCTTAGTAAAGATGGAAATCTGATCATCACTCCATGTTCTTTGGTAGTTGATTCAGAATACTTATCTGGGACAAGTAAATATGCTCACTATATGATGCCAGTTTCTTACGAGTACCTTTTAATGCATTCCCATTTACTGTAAAATATATTTATAAATTTATGTGGCATTGAAAGTGTTAAGTGCTATTTTCTCTGACAACTTTTGGAGTCATCGCACCTACGTGGAAGGCTTTTAATCTTCACATGTGCTGAATATGACAGCAAGTTTATCTCAGTTCCAGGGCTTTCCCTTTGCTGTCCTTTATCTGGAGTGTATAACACCCACCCTCCTGTTTGGCTGCCTCATTAATTATGACTTGGATCAAAGGAACGGATATTCAAATGTGTATCAGATACATTTTTCTAACTAGTAGATTGTGGTACATGGTATAAGATGTTAAATATAGAAACATTTTTATTTCAGAAAAATATTTACTGACATTAGTAATCAGCATCACAGTGTTACGTTTTATGGAGAATTTAGTTACAAACAAGTTAAGATGTTTGTTTCTGATGGATTTGTGATTTAAAATATACAGAATCATAACAACATGACCTAATGGCACCAAAAGGTAGTTCCACATAACATCAAGCACTGATGCATACATTTAAAAGCAAAGAAAACAACAGTATCTCTTTTTTTTTATTAATTATGTTGCATTATGTGACACAGTTTCACAGGCTCTAAGATTCCCAC